TGGCTAACAAGTCTGTAAAGGCATGTAGAGGACCAGGCAGGACTGTCCAGAACCACATTAGCTTTAAGCAGACTAGGTGGGGTGCCAGCAGTGATTAGCTGGACACGCTCGGCTTTACACTCTGCTTCTCATTAGCATTAATTAGCCAGCATCATACCTCTACTGCTGCCAGGATGAGGGCTGGCTCAGGCAGTAGTTTCACAGTCCTTAATGCCGAGTATGGAGTTGCCAGAGTGCACAACAGGGAGCTTATGTTGGCCCTGTGTCTTTCTGCCAAGGGTAGAGGAGAGTGGAGACCAGGTTCAGCAGAAAGCTGGAGCAGCGTGGAGACAGGTAATACCTCCTTTGGCATAGGACCTCCCAACATAACTTTATCCTGCCAAAAATGAGTGAATTTGAAACACCAGAGCTAAAGTTCAGCTTTGTAACGTGCTTGGCCTGTCCTAGCAGTGATGGCTGATGAAAGACCCCATCCTGCGTGCTCCCTCGCGTGTGGCCCAGTGACGGTGGCTGCAAGGTGAACTGAGGCTCCATCAGGTCCCTCCCCAGAGATTGTAATGCTGGAGACTTGATTAGCAGTGCTCAAGGTGTCCCCTCCCTCCCCACTATCCCACCCCACCAGCAACACAACACTGGTTTCAGCAAACCTTGGAGTGACCTTGTGGAAAAGCAGATTCCGCAGATACTGCTCTACAGTTTTTCCAGTTTAAGTGGTTTTATCACTAGAAAGTCACACTTTCAAATAAATTTCACCCCAAGGCCATAGTCTCAAAAGACACACTTATAAATGTGTAGAACATAAAATGAGTGATTTTTTTGATAGAGGTTCGGGAAAGAAATCCCTCGCGGAGTTACCACTTTATTGATATTCTTGGATATAGCTCCACACACACCGAGCAGGATCAGCTACTGCTAAGGATCACGATTCATGTCTTTCCATTTAAACGTTGCAACAAAGAACGAAACTATTTCACAACTAACAAAGAGGAGCCCTTTAATTTGCTAGAACAATTTCCGCTCTCATTGCATTAGCACCCTCCAGTGTCCAACCCATGAAAAACAACATCATCACTAATTTGCCAAGTAGACACAAACTCGGAGCGCGGAACACGAGAAGGAGCAACAGTGGATTCCTGGGAGAGAAGATGGCAGAGACAAGAGAAGAAACTCCCAGTGCTAGAAATCTTACATGACATAGGCGCAGTCCCTGAAGAAGATTTGATGCAGTGTTATGACTGATCCTATATTATCCCCCGTGCAGAGGTTCGGTAAACCTCACCACACCACGGAATCTGGTGTGCCCATTTTGGTGACCCAAGAGCAGAAGCAGTACTCTGCTGGCAGCTCTTCTCAAGCTTTCTTGTTCGTAGCAGATGTGCTGGTGTCCACACCTTTGGCACGACAGGCCCTGCGTGCCCACGGGGTATATTCTGTACTCTGCAGCATTCTGCTGAGATGTGAGCTTAACGACACCATTCTTGATTGATTTGCTATGAGCATGTGGGTATACTTCTGTTGGAATACACCATGAAAAGAAATACATGTAAAAAAAATCTCTCATGCATGCATGAAGCACTTGGCTAGCTGAAGGCAAGCAGGGGGTGATGCTTATGTGTGCTGTGCTCTTCTCTTACACTGTAATAATCAACCAAAGAGAAAGTCTTCAAGACTTCAACACCCCTCAAGACAAAGATTTGTCTTCAAGAAGGTTTTTATCATCAATGCTTTACTGCAACATTGTCTCTAAAAAGCACATTTGAAGCTCTTAAGAACAACAACAACAGAAAGAACCACTGTATTTGTTATTAAAAAACAGCTGGAAAGAGAGTTAACTTTTTCCAACAAGACAAAAATATTTCCCAGGCACAGAAAGCCCAAAATGTTCTGGAACGTCACAAGTGAGCAAAACCAGCTCTGAGTACTGTAGGATTTACCAGCCTATGTGAAAAACTGGATGTCAGAACCGACAGAAAACAGGGTCCCCTCCTGGACCAACCGGACCAGGACCCAACATCTTGCTAACAACACAAATACTCCATCCACATTGTCATGGCAGCACTGCGCAGCAGCTTCGCAGGGGCAGCAACATCCCCATGAGGAGAGGATGGTGGCAGCTGGAAAGGCAGCCACACTGCATGGGAGGTACCTGCTGTAGTTAGGATCCCAGCCCAACAGTATGGCAACAAGCACTCTGGGACCCAGGCACCAGAGTCCAGACCAAGCAGGACCTGCCAACTCCTGCAAAAGACGAGGGAGCTGCTAATTAAATCCAACCAACACACGCGTCTATTGCTGACATTTGAAGTTGTCCCTGTATTTTCTTTCCCCACTGCACATGGCTACATGGCTTCCCAGCTCCAAGGTGAGCAAGGGCTCCTCATGCCTCATCCTGCTGTAGTCTCTTGGATGCCCCAAATTCTGCAGTCTCCACCGGTGTGATGATGGAGCTCCACAAGGTTTGACCACAAGTTCTCAAGCTCCACAGCAGCACTGATGACAAGGGACAAGTGGTTCCCACCACAGAGAGGCCGTTGTGTCTCCTGGGAGTCAAGTGAGGTGGCCACAGTGCTCGGCGGTCACATGCCATCCCATGGTAGCACCAGCCAAGGAAGCCCTGTCTGACCACAGCTGGAAGAGAACAGCCTCACCGCAGGCGTGCAGTCAGCCTCCTCTCCCAGCCCCGAGACACTGCTATGCACATATATATGTGATCATCTGATTGCCCGCACACTGTGTAGACTCCTCTTCTCCCCATAATATAAATATTCAAAATTCCTCATGACCAGAAATACCATAGCATTTGTGATCCTGCCCCAATATGGAAGTGAGGGGAAAAAAAAAAAGAAAAAAAAAAAAAGAAAAAAAAAAAAAGAAAAAAAAAAAAAGAAAAAAAAAAAAAGAAAAAAAAAAAGAGCAAAAAAAGGCATGTGCATGCACATATCTTCTCCAGAATCAGACTGTAAAAGAAAGCTAGAGGAGGTAGGCTGGAAAATGACCCTAGGTGCTATGCAGGACAGTGCTACTGTGGGCAAGAAAGACTGACATGGATTTTATGGGCTCTTCACACTACCTCTAGCACAGCACAGAGCAGTCCGGCTGTCCCCGAGGTTCCCCAAGAACACAAGAACATCAGCATCAATATTGCGTGCTCATGGTAACATCTCTGTTACAGTTATTACTGACTGCATACTCTTTCGCCAGTCAACTATAAAATATTTACAGTATCATGGTCTCAGCGGAGACTGCAAGAATTTAAAGCTTTAAATATTAAAATGAATTAACACTTGATAGCCTGCCTAATATCAGTACTAAAAAATCTGCTCTCCCTCTAGAAGGGCTGTTGAAAACCTCCCTTAATTCAGTGCAGACTCCACAATCAACCAGCCTGGCAGAAGGAATTCTCTGCCTGCAGGGAATATGCAGGCACACACCTGCAGGCAAAAAAAGTCAGGCATCAAAACCACACAGATCTCCAGGACAAAGGTGCGATGGAGCCCTCATCTTATATATGCTGTCACTCACAGCCTGACTCTGCAAACTGACCTGCATGGGGATTGAGTAAATTTCAGCAGAGCTTTTCCTAGCACACTGCTCAAAGTCCGTGCCCCGACAGCTATTTGGCCACCTGTGGGAAAGTGCCTGGTGATCTCTGTCCCTTTGCAAGTGGATGTATGTCACCTACATAACCCCCCCTTGTCCAGCCACTGCTGCGGCAGAGGCATGGGGACACACCACCACTCTGGACTCACCACGGCCTCCCCAAGCCCAAGACGAGGGATGGTGACAGGGCTGCTGACAGCCCCACTTCTGCCCACATCACGACTCATGCTTAGCTCCACTGCTTGGCTCCATCCTGGGTGGTTTATCAATGGAGAAGAGAACATGATACTCCCTTGGAGAGAGGAAGGCCTACAGTGTGGATCCAGCACACCTTGCCCCCCCAGTTTCTCCCTGCAGGAGACAGGGCATGGGGGCCATGAGAAGCCTGCTCAAGATCTCAGCTCAGGCATGGGAAAGACTCAGGTCATAGAATCACAGAATGGTGCTATTGCAACAGGCCCTGCTAAAAAGTTTGTCCCTGTCTTTCTTGTAAGCCCCCTTTAAGTATTGAAAGGCTGCAATCAGGTCTCTTCAGACCCTTCTCTTCTCCAGGCTGAACAACCCCAGCTCTCTCAGCCTGTCTTCACAGCAGAGGTGCTCCAGCCCTCTGATCATCTCCGCGACCCTCCTCTGGACTTGCTACAACAGCTCCGCATTTTTCCTGTGCTAGGGGCTCCAGAGCTGAAGGCAATACTGCAGGTGGGGTCTCACCAGAGCAGAGCAGAGGGGCAGAATCACCTCCCTGGATCTGCTGGCCACACTTCACAGAATATTGATGGTTGGATGGGACCTTTGAGATCATGGAGTCCAACCACAAAAAAAACAAACACAAAAAGCAAAAAAACAAACAAACAAAAAACCACAAACCAAAACCACACCACACCCACCCACAGACCACCAACAATCCTGGGCACTAGAGCATGCCCTGAAGAGCCATGTCTACACGTTTCTTAAATATCTCCAGGGATGGTGACTCCACCACCTCCCTGGGCAGGCTGTTCCAGAGCCTGACTGCTCTCTCAGAAAAGTAAT